AGCAACCACTCAGAACACCCTAGCAACCGCCTAGCAACACCCTAGCAACCACCCAGAACACCCTAGCAACCGCCTAGCAACACCCTAGCAACCACCCATAATACCCTAGTAACACCTTAGCAACCATGCTAGCATCATGCTAGCAAAATGCCAAACATGCTAACATTATGCTAACAACATGCTAATCATGCTAGCATGATGCTAGCAACATGCTAATCATGCTAGCATGATGCTAGCAACATGCTAATCATGCTAGCAACATGCTAGCAACATGCTAATCATGCTAGCATCATGCTAGCAACATGCTAGCAAAATGCTAATCATGCTAACATCATGCTAGCAACATGCTAATCATGCTAGCATCATGCTAGCAACATGTTAGCAAAATGCTAATCATGCTAACATCATGCTAGCAACATGCTAATCATGCTAGCAACATGCTAATAATGCTAGCATAATGCTAACAACATGCTAATCATGCTAGCATGATGCTAGCAACATGCTAATCATGCTAGCAACATGCTAGCAACATGCTAATCATGCTAGCATCATGCTAGCAACATGCTAATCATGCTAGCATCATGCTAGCAACATGCTAGCAAAATGCTAATCATGCTAACATCATGCTAGCAACATGCTAATCATGCTAGCAACATGCTAATAATGCTAGCATAATGCTAACAACATGCTAATCATGCTAGCATGATGGTCGCAACATGCTAATCATGCTAGCATCTTGGTAAAAACTAGCTAACCGCAAGCTAGCAACCGAGCGGCGAGTTTTGCCACTGCAAGCACCACTTCACATTTTCTTCTGGAAATGTACATTCTAGTTAGTGGTGCTTGCCTATGGCAAAGCAACACTAGTGTTATTGTGCATACTTATTATTCTTATTCTTCTTATTCTTCTGGCCACTTTTTGACGCGCTACTCCTCCCGCAGTTTTTGTCACAGACCCATGAATGAGGTGTCAAAACGTGCGGCCTGTTCGGGAATGGTGTGCTATGACTTTTATAAGGGATCGGGGGTACGATGTTCGCCCCAGGGGCGAAAAACCGGCCGAAAAATCCCATAGACTTAACATTGCGTCAAACTTTGACGCGTCGTAGCTCGGAACGAGGATGTCGCAGAAACGTGTAATTTACCACATTTGAAGAGGCTGACAGGCTCTGTAAGAACATACCACACAATGGGGTAAAAGTTGCACCCGTGGGGGGCAGGAGGGGCCCAAAGTTGCCCCATTGACTTACTATGGTGTAGGACGGCCCATGAAATGGGCCGTCCTACACCATAGAAACCGCTTTTATATTGAACATAGCTCTGGATCACAGTGTCATAGAGACAAGGGGGCGGGCTCATTTTATTCAGACAACCAATCAGTCTCTCAGGATCATTGTGAAGCTATCAAGCCACGCCCTAGCAACCATTTAGAGCTCCTTAGCAACAAGTTCCATAGACTTCCATTGAAACAGATCAAAGGGATATCTCAGGATATAAGAGTCATAGAAACATGAGGGTGGTCTCGTTTGACTCGGGGCAGCAAACAGCCAATCCTGAATCACCTCAACACATCCTAATCCCTCCCTAGCAACCATTATCAAGCACCTTAGCAACAAAAATCCAAAGAGGAATATCTTCCATTCTGAATGTCACAAAGGCGTGGGAGTTGGTTTATATCATTCATACTGACAAGAAGCCTTTGGAGTTTCATGATTGGCAGCTTCCAAGCCACTCCCTAGCAACCAAACAGAGTACCCTAGCAACCATTTTGCAAGACCTATATCTCTGCATCAAAACATCGTATAGAGATGGGGGTTGGTTTATACATTCACATTGACTTTGGAGCTTCATGATTGGCAGCTGCCAAGCCACTCCCTAGCAACCAAACAGAGTACCCTAGCAACCGTTTTGCAAGACCAATATCTCTGCATCAGAACATCGTATAGAGATGGGGGTTGGCTCTTTTGACTCATGCTAGCAAACAGGACTTGCTACATCCTACACATGCTAGCAGTGAATAGCTACATGCTAATATTGATTAGCTAAGTGCTAAATCATGCCAATAAAATGCTACAAACTCAACAGTAACCATCTGTGACAACTACCAACCACCTAGTAACACCATAGCAACCACCCAGATTACCCTAGCAACACCCTAGCAACTGCCTAGCAATGCCCTAGCAACCACCCAGAACACCCTAGCAACCGCCTAGCAAGGCCATAGCAACCACCCAAAACACCCTAGCAACCACCCAGAATACCCTAGCAACTGCCTAGCAACACCATAGCAACCACCCAGAACACCCTAGCAACCGCCTAGCAACGCCATAGCAACCACCCATAATACCCTAGCAACCACCTAGTAACACATTAGCAACCATGCTAGCATCATGCTAGCAACATGCTTAACATGCTAGCATGATGCTAGCAATATGCTAATCATGCTAGCATCTAGCTAAAACATGTTTGCAACATGTTTATTTTTGTTAGCATCATGCTAGCAACATGTTAATCATGCTAGCATGTTGGTAGCATGATGCTAACAACATGCTAATCATGCTAGCATGTTGGTAGCATGATGCTAACAACATGCTAGCATGATTAGCATGATGCTAGCATGATGCTAACAACATGCTAATCATGCTAGCATGATGCTAACAACATGCTAATCATGCTAGCATGATGCTAGCAACATGCTAATCATGCTACCAACATGCTAATCATGCTAGCATCATGCTAATCATGCTAATCATGCTAGCATCATGCTAGCATCATGCTAGCATCATGCTAGCAACATGCTAATCATGCTAGCAACATGCTAATAATGCTAGCATAATGCTAACAACATGCTAATCATGCTAGCATGATGCTAGCAACATGCTAATCATGCTGGCAACATGCTAGCAACATGCTAATCATGCTAGCAACATGCTAATAATGGTAGCATAATGCTAACAACATGCTAATCATGCTAGCATGATGCTAGCAACATGCTAATCATGCTAGCATCTTGGTAAAAACTAGCTAACCGCACGCTAGCAACCGAGCGGCGAGTTTTGCCACTGCAAGCACCACTTCACATTTTCTTCTGGAAATGTACATTCTAGTTTGTTCTCAAATTGTTAATGTTAACAACGTCAGCATTGCGTGTGACTACATGTAATGTCCTTCCGATATGTATCCTTGTTTTCGCATGGGATCGGTTGCAGTCTCTTTTTTTCTGTAACCACTCCGAAGTCCGAACGAAGTGTTTTGCATTTTATAATGGGTGAGTCTTCAGTTGTCACTGGTGATTGTCGTTTGAACCTTTCTGGATCTGCCATCAAATTGCTAAGTTTAATTATATCAAGTGCTGTGAGAAAAGGCTATAAATCTCCACCTCCAGCATCCTCACACTCAATATCCTACTAGCCGAGACTCCTTCTTTATATGTACAGATGTGACGCAATGACGCAAAGACATGCTCGAATCTCCCGCGGAAATCCACCAGTACCACTGGAATTAAAAACATTATTACAAGATTACCGGTTTGAATCGAGCTAAGGCAAGCAGATAGTTTTGAACACTTGCTGGTTATGTATTTTGGATCATTTTAAACCCAAAAAAAGCTACGGACTGCAGCTTTAATACATGATGTTATCTAATTGCATGATTTGAAGATGTACATTTCTGAAATACATTACTTGGACACAGTCACCTCTGCTAACAGATAACTTTGTATTGTAGACAAACTGTAATGTAGACAAGCATTTTCTGTAAAGCTGCTTTGAAACAATGGGTCTCATTCATGAAACACGAGCAGAACGAATTTTTGTGTAAATCGTGTGTAAAGTGGTTCTGGCGTAAATTTTCGGATTCATTAAAATGTTCGTATTTTCCAAATGTTAGTTGGTACGAAATAAATCTACACCTGCTCCCAGCCACGCGTAAATAGTGAGTTTAACATCCGAACGTTTGCTCATTAATAACTAATGCTGGATTTTAATTCACCTTAATCGGGTACATATTTACACAGCATTTTGAAAAAAAATTATATATAGTAATTACATACGGTTTTTCTTTTTTACTTCTGGGACTGTTTGATTAACAGATGAAACTCCATTAACTGCATCTGTAATATGCTGCCAAGCTTCCTTTTTTTAGGACCTGATACGCCACTATGTAGCCTACGCTTGAAAATAAAATGTGGTGTTTTGAATGAACTTCTGATAATACAACTTCGATTTCTGCATCTGAGAAATTTTTCTTTTTCATTCGTTTTTGAGAAGACATGTTGAAATCCTTCGTTTGGTGTCATAATATGATGCCCATATATAGTTGTCAGTCGGATTTAATGGGCGGGATTTATGGTAATTGAGAATGAACGTGCACGCGCATCCCATTTACGACTGATTGGAATTCATTAACACACACACACACACATTTCACTATCACATCTGACGTTTACGAAGTATTTGTGAATCAGGAGATGACTTTTCGGGAAGGTCTGTTTACGCGCAAATCACTCTCATATTTACTCGTATATTTACGAACGTTTCATGAATGAGACCCAATGTGTATTGTGAAAAGCACTACACAAATAAATGTGAATTGAATTAAACAACAAAAGACAGAACAAATCACTCTTGTAGCTTTAAAATTATATTTAATTTATACAGTGAAGATGCAGTGTTATTTTACATTTGATTGTTCATTTCTGAACCTGAATACTGTTAGATTTACCCGAAAAACGTGTCCCTACACTCCCTACAAAATCACCACAATCATTCTATAATGATTAATTCTTTCCAAATAGAGCTATTCAAGACATGAAATGTTTTCAAATTGTTTTAGTATCGCAGAAAAACTAAATATTGCAATGTTAGTTTTTCCAATATCATGCAGCCCTATTTAATTTCATATTGAATACTATTTAACCACATTTCAGATTGATGTGTGTGGTCACCAAATCAACCCACACTTCAAATTAGTAGGACTGCAGGCAATCGATCTCTGGGTACCTGAGAACTGGGATCTTTGCTCCTCTGTGCTGATAAGAAGGCAACAGCCATGAAATACTCTGGCCACTCCAGGTAGTCCTGCCTCTTCTTTGTCGGACCTTCACTGTGTGTTCTGATGGATTGAAAGAATGAATGAAATTAAGAAAAAAATTAACCCCTGTAGCCAGGAGAGCACAAAAAAAAACTGACAAATCATTACATTTAGGGGAAATATAGTACATGATAATACGTGTGAACACCAGTGTTGGGTGTAACTAATTACTAAGTAATTAGTTACTGTAATTTAATTTTCTGTAATTTGATTAGTTACTTCTGATGTAATTGGGCTAAATACTGTGTATAGACCAATCCGATCTCACGGCAATTCGTACACATTTTATGAGGTGGCTAAAATCGCACAACCTCACTCGTACAAATTTGTACGAATTAGCCAACTTGTAAAATAAGTATGAAATGTCATGAGATCAGACTGGTATAAACCAGTGGTTCTCAACTCCAGTCCTTATGCCGGGCGTACACCAAAGGATTTTCACAGTCTCAGACTAAAGACGGGCCGTTTTTAGCAATCTTACTGGAGTCTCGGCGCGCTCCCGTCGTCTCGATCGTTAAATGTGAGGTGATAATCTGCAGTCGGCGACCCGATTTATGCCAGTCTTTCATATCAAACATGTTTGATATTATCGCAAGTCCTAGCGTAGTCATAGTGACGTAAAACAATCAACAACCAATAAAATCGTTCTCAGAAAACCGGAAACAGGAAACAGGAAGCCATCAGTCACAACAAAGAAACATGTCGACGGACATGGAAACACAACGAGCGCCAAGTAGGCGAAAATGGACCATGGATAAAGAGGAGCGCCTTGTCGAGCTTGTCATCCCATTAAATAGTCAACTCTTTATTAAGAAATGTTTACATAACAATGTCTAATTTGATTTTTTTTTCATTCCTGGAAAAGAAAGTGATTTATTGTAATTAAACAATATAAATTAACATTTTTTTACTCATCAAACAAAAAATATGCATAAAAATGCCTATTTTAATGGAGGAAAACATTAGGATCCCTAATAACTAGTGATACCCCCCTTTGTTGAAATTAATTCAGTGAGATAAAATGGTGGAATGGCTGATGTCAAAGTCCTTTGAAATATGCATCTTTTTAAATCCTTTTCCACACTCATAAGCAGTGTGGGGGAAATATATGGGGGGTGTCCTAATTTATTCCTCCTCAAAAATTGCATTCTTTTAAAATTACATTTCACAGAGAGTCTTAAAAAGGCCTTCCTTATTTTTAAATAGTTTAGTTAAATCACTGGGTCCTTCTAAATTATTCTAATTTGCTGCTCAGAAAAAACATTCACATTTAATGTTGAAAACAGTTGTGCTGCTTGATATTTCTGTGGAAACAATTATCTTTTTTTTCAGGATTCTTTGATGAATATTAAGTTCAAAGAACAGTATTTATCTCAAAGATTACATTTTTATTCTAGATTAAAAGATTATATTAAAGATTATAAATGTTTTACTGTCGTTGGTTGCCAAATAAAAGTATTCATTTCTTTACAAAAAAATATCTAACTGACCACAACCTTTTGAATGGTAGTGTACATACATTCATAATATCTGCATCTTCAGTATGGAAGATTCCTATTGCCTACATCAGAGTACTTGATCTTAACACTGGAACCCCTGATGCCCAGCAATGACTGTCTACTCTACATGTGTGATATAAGCACTGACAGACATGATCATCAGATGGTTTTCCTCCAGGGCTTTCCATTTTAGTTAAAAGTGATATTACACCTTTTGCGACACATCTCAGTGACTGTCTTTGAAAGGCAAAGGGATTTATGTGTGAAGATTTAATGGACCCATCTGACTTGACTCACTCTTTTTCCTAAAGTCTCTGGTGATTCTCTCTTTTTTGAGCAGCTGTCAGAGCAGGTGTGTGTGTGTGTGTGTGTGTGTGTGTGTGAGAGAGAGTCTAATGGTGGAATACTGAGGGTTGATGATCTGAAGCTAATGGGCAGTGCAGTGTGAGACAATGCTGAGGTAGTCATTAAACAGTTTTAAAATGTGCAGTTATCTGAAAACCATTCACACGATATAAATGGAAATACAATAGGTTTTAGATTTTCCTTTTAAATCTAATCTGATTTGATTAGTGCACCTCACTTGCAGTCACAATGATTTTGCCAGATATGTTCCTGGATCAACATATTTTGTTTATCGTGGACATTCCTTTCCGAAAACAGGTCGTAACCCTATCCATACCCCTAATCCTTACAATAATTTATCACTAAAATCAGAGGGAAAAGATGCAGCTAATTAACCCCACTGTTGATTGCCATGTTTTTCCAGGATCAACAGAGCTGTTGATCCAGGAACATGTTGTACTTGGTGAAATCGTGAAATCACAGCCAGCTTCCAGGGCTGAAGATGCCAAACATGGCCACAAGAGGGCAGTAATCATCAGATTTACCTTCATGTGCAACTATTTTTTCAGTAGGACTATTTGTCAACAAGCCATTAGCGTTTTTATGCTAATGTACCAGAAACATAATCATATATCTTCTGAAAAACTGTCAACACACCGTTGTTGTTTTCACACAACGTTCGGTTCTGGTGAACCCTTTTTTACAAAACTTTTGCACTTCTCAGTACTCTAACACATTTCTCAGGAACACAAATCTAAAACCATGTCATATCTCCGCCCCCTAGCATGCGCTCATAATGAATTTAACAGAAAAAGCAATATATAAAACACGTTACCCGTTGAGCTGGGATGTGCCGTTCTTTGCCTTGTCGTCCATGTCTTAATCAGAAAGTGTCTGCAGTCCTCTTATCGATATTAGCACTGAATGTCCACTCTCTCCAGTCTCCAGCGGCAGAACAGACAGAGCAGAAGAACTTCCCGCGAAACAAAGAGACCAGCCCCCTGGGCCTGTTCCGGGTTTAGAGGAGGAGCAAAGAGTTGAATAGCGCCATCTCTACACAATTCTGCACACTGCACCGAGTCTTTCTCTTTCTATTCCAACCACTCTATTGCAAGTTGGTATATTAAAATAGCCTACCTACGCTACGTCGTACTCTTGTAGTTATCTCAGCCGCTCAGCAAAAGCGTTAAACGCGCGCTCGTTCATAAGATACTAAGATAGGCTGCCTATGTCATTATGATTATTCTTCTGTAGGACTTTGTTTTTGTTCGAATAATAAAACAGAATGTATAACATAACAAATGTCTCTAAAAATCATTGAAATTGAGTATTGTTTTAGAAGTAATGTAAGACATAGACATAAACCTTCTTAAAATGAAATCCATGAACGCATATCATAACAGGCTAACACTGATAATAATAACGGGGTAAAAATTTAACCACATAATTAAAAAGCTGAGATTTTCCATTTAACTTCATTTTTTGTATAAGGAGACCTTATTAGAAATGCATGTTGGTCAAGCTCCAGCACTTTTTATAAATGAACTGCAAGCAGACAATGTAGGAGCAAACCACAATAGCTGTCATGGACAAATTCAAAGTAAATACTTTTTCATTGCATAGTGATTATGAATTGTAAATTTTCAGAAAAATATTTTAGTCCCTTTCACAACAATACATTTAGTTTATTGGAAAATACTTTAATGAAATAACAGCTAAATATGTGTTTCCCTATAAAACATGTTAGATTTGCACTTTCTTTTCTAAATAACATCTGACAACAAATATTTCTAAATAACATCTAACAACAAATATATCTGGTTGCCAACCAGATAGGCAGATACGCAATTCGCACATTAAATCAGTCAAAACAAGCTGCATGGGACCATAGACTGTATGGGACACAGACAGACAGCAGAACACGCTGAGAAGTTTCACAATACAACAACAGCGAAACTCACCCATTGGCTATAAATAATTGTGCTCTTCTAGGATTATGGGGTCAGAAAGAAAATAAGAGTTGTCACACAATTTGCTCAAAATCAAGTAAGTTATATAATTTACATTACATTCCTAGGTGTATATTACTTTCTTCTTTCAGCCAAACATATCAAAATATCTCTCAAGCTTTATAATGGGAGTGAATGGTGCCTTTAAAAAAAAAAAAAAAAGTGCACCCATCCATCATAAAAGTAATCCATACGGCTCCATATGGGATTAATAAAGGCCTTCTGAAGAGAAACAATGCATTTTTGTTTTTGTATTTTGTGGAAATGGACCATGAATACTCAAATCTTATATTTCGGGAACATTCCAATGCGTTCAACAAATTAAAATGACAAATGCCACTTTTGATGTTCATACGGTCTGTTTTGATGTTCATACGGTCATGACATGCATGCTTAACCAAGTTCCACAGTCACACAGAATGTTTCGATCCTATATATTTGTATTTGTTTTACTCTTTTTTATGTAACGCGATTGCACACACTTCCCAACCTGTTGGACCAGTGTGACTTACTGGCAGTAACGTCAGGCTCCAGCAGGCGGTGTGGTATAATTTAGGAAGCGGAAGTGAAAGTGAAAGAAACAGTACTTTCAAAAGCTACGCCGACCAATGAAACGCTTCGTTGTTTCACTTCCGCGGTCTGCTTCTTGATGACGTGTTGCGTCATTCTATCAAGCACGAAAGGCTTCTGGAAGAATTCAAATGTCGATCCAAAAAACACTACGTCGCTCTTCTTAAGATGAAGAAAGAAAATCTAAAACAAAACATGGTTATGTTGTCGGCGCAGTTCTAGGACAGGATTTTATAACACATCTTATCGAGGAATCTTGGAGTAACGTTAGGCGATTGCCTCTCGTCGAGGTAACGTTAACGTTAAATGGCTTCAAAGCAGAACTATTAATTTATTAGTTAGTCTGTTTATAAATAGATTGATTCTACAAGATTCTCTGTCTGTGTTGGGCTGAAATTAATGCATGTTTACATTAGTAAACGTCCAAATATGTCACATTATGAAAAAATGACTCTGACAGATATTTTATCGTTTATTCTTCTGTCTTTTATGAAAGGCAATACATATTTGGATTAATCAATTCTTGGTCTTCCATAGAATGTGCGTGAAAGGTAACGTTACGCCATATAAAGGTGGAGCACGTTGTGTATTACCGCAGAATGAATCATCGTTATAAGAGCATTTGATTTGATAATTGGGAGGGCGTGAGGCATTCCCCCATGTTAGATACTGAGATTTATTTTATTTATTTGTGCAAAGTTGATTGATTACTATAATTAATTAATAATTATTAACATTATTTGCCTAGAATAAACAGATAGGAAGTATTTTGTATTATTTAAGCATCTAGAACCTTTTCAGTTTGACAGAATTTTTAATTTCAAAGTGCCATGGGAAGTATAACTTCACTTTAATATGTTTTTTTCTATTTAAAATGCAAATTTCCTACTCTTAACAAAAATTGTTTTCATTTCATCAGGCTCCTAATTTTTTTTTTCCTTGTGAGGCAGGATGTCCAGTATATTTAAAGGGTTATTTCACCCCAAAATGAAAATTGTCCCATAATTTACTCACCCTCAAGCCATCCTAGGTGTATATTACTTTCTTCTTTCAGCCAAACATATCAAAATATCTCTCAAGCTTTATAATGGGAGTGAATGGTGCCTTTCTTTTTTTTTTTTAAGTGCACCCATCCATCATAAAAGTAATCCATACGGCTCCATGGGATTAATAAAGGCCTTCTGAAGAGAAACAATGCATTTTTGTTAGAAAAATATCCATAATTATAACTTTATAAACTGTAACCACTAGCTTCCGGTAACATCCGTCCGCGCTTCGAGTCACGAGTCGAGTTCCGGCGTATGACGTAGGGTAAGCTTAGGTGAGAGTAGACGCCTCTCGCGGTTCAAACAAATAGGGCTGGGCAACAAACTCAAGTTTCTCTGACATTTCTCTTTAAAAAATCTTGTTTTAGACTTCTAATTCGTGATCGGTGTTTTGTTTTGCTTTACGTATTGTATTTGCTCTCTTCCGCCGGAACTACACTTGGCCGTAATCGGAAGCCAGTGAATATAGTTTATAAAGTTATAAATATGGATATCTTACTAAAATCCATCGCTTCACTTCAGAAGGCCTTTATTAACCCCCTGGAGTCGAATGGATTACTGATGGATGGATGCGCTTTTTTGGGCTTCAAAATCTCAGGTACCATTCACTCTCATTATAAAGCTTGGAAGAGCCAGGATATTTTTTTATATAACTCTGATTGTGTTTGGCTGAAAGAAGTCACCTAGGATGGATTGAGGGTGAGTAAATTATGGTATACTTTTCATTTTTGGGTGAACTAACTATTTACAACTTCATTCTATTTGTTTCTTTTCTATTCAGAGTCAAGATGCCAGTGGACAGAATGAGAATGCGCCCCTGGTTGGAGCAACAGATTACCAGCGGGGAAATTCAAGGTCTTCTCTGGGTCGATAAGGTGAGGGTGGACTGGAAATCCAATAAAATTCTATTGTATTCAGTTTAAGAGGAGACTTAATTAAGTTTGAACATGTGACTCATGTGGCACTTTGTGTCTTTGCCAATACATTGTCAAATTCCAAATGCAGACTATCAGATTTTTGTGCATTTCCAATTCGATATTTAGCAAGTGTGAACAGCAAAAAAAATCACATGAAATCTGATTTCTTACAAATCCGTTTCAAGGTACATTCATACGTGGTTTGAAATCTCATTGAAATCTCATTTCTGGAAATCCATTTCAGTCTGACCTGTCTGATCGGATTTTGCATAGCTTTTCTCCCCATGTGTCACTTTCTCACCACATAAAACGTAAAAAAAAAAGTCAGACATCGTTGCAGGAACAAGGTTGCGTTGTGTTGTTGTCAATGTTCAGGTCACGCAGAAAATGTCACTTCATTCACTGTGCGCTCATGCGAGCCTCAGTTTTTGACATTGCTTTATTAGTAGTCCCGCGGTGCAGCTACACATTGTCAAAGACATTATTGCAAACCCCTTAATTGTTGTTTTTGGCATAGTCCTATAAATGCCATGGAAATCGAAAGATAGCCATGATGAGACACACAAATCGGATCTGAACAGTTGCGATACGCAGTGTGGACACTCAGTCATTTAGATCAGATTCCCTTTGGATACACAAATAATTGGATTTGGACTGACAGTGTGAACATAGTCTAATAGTACACTATTAAAATGTTTCCATTACCAGGATAAAAGGATATTTCAGATACCATGGATGCATGCAGCCAGACATGGATGGGATTTGGAAAAGGATGCACCTTTATTTAAGAACTGGGCCATTCACACAGGTAACTGTTGACAGATCTGTTGTCCATTGTCTCTTTAATAAAGAATGATGCTGACTACTTTAAAGGTGAAATTTGTAATTTCCACTTTGCATTTGAGGTGATTCTGCATTTGCATACAACTTTTAATGTTTTTCTGCCGGGGTGATCCTTGTGCTGGATCTACTGATTTGTGACTCCATTTTGTTATATGTTATGATTCAGGTATTACTCAATTATGTCTCATACAGGAAAGTATCGTCCAGATATTGACAAACCAGATCCTAAGACATGGAAGGCAAATTTCCGCTGTGCTATGAATTCTCTACCAGATATTGAGGAAGTGAAAGATCAAAGCATGAAGAGAGGAAGCAATGCCTTCAGAATGTACAGGATGCTTTCCTCATCCGAAAAAGCAGCTAAGAAAGGTAAGTTTGGTCATTAACATAAATACTTAGGGGAAATTTCACCATGTATTTTATGCTCATACACTTATTATTAGTGTAGAATTACATCATTTTATTTTGGTAAACATATTCTTCTGATGATGTTTAAGATCCTCTAAATGCATATTGTCATCTTCTTCAGGGAAGAAAAAGATGGACCTGGAGCAAAGAGCAAAAGTAGGAACTAATAGCTGTACACTTAAACAACAGTGCACACTTCTGTTCTTACTAAGTATTGCAAATGATCTCACACCTATCCTAAATTCTTTAGTGTTTTCAGAAACGGAAAGCTGGCACTCCCAGAAAAATTAAAATTCTAAAAGGACAGTTTGAAGCAGAGTTTAAGATAGAAACTTCACCGGACAGCACTGTGCTATTTGCTGGTAAATAACCACTTGTTATTCCCTCATTTGTTCTACCCTCAGATATCATACTTGGATACACTGGAAAATGCACTTATTTATCTACAGTGTTACCAAAACATATTTGACATTTTAAGCCATTCTGACACTAGGGCTCAGAACAAATTTTTAATAACCTATTTTTTTAAATCAACTGGTCTCAATGTGATTTCTGACCACCAAAAAAGTACTCTTTGCCTTCAACAGTAGATCCATTGTTTTATACTTGCTTATTCATCAACAGAGCAGGAGAGCTCCCCTGAACTACATGATGTGTGTGCAGTTGTTGAGGTGGGAACAGAGAATGAAGAACCTGGGGTTTTCCCCGTTGAAGTGTCTCTGCCTCTCCAGGACTCCCATGTTTCTGGTTCCTCCCATGGTAAGGTTCTTTCTTGCCTTTATCTTTACTGTCTACTGTGTTGTATTCACCACAGGAGTCATAAATTACTTATTAGGCTACATATTATTGTTGGCCACAAACACAACTGCACATCATCATGGATTTTATTCTATACTATACAGAGAGTGACACAGAGAGCACATACAGCGACGAAGACTTGGTACAGGTATGTATATTTTTAAATACGTTATTTTATATTTTTTAATACAATTTAGACACCTGAATCTTTAGAAATTGTGTTTTTTTTTTGTGACAGCCAGTTAAGCAAATACACTACCATTCAAAAGTTTGGGGTCATTACTACTACTTCGTTTTATTCAGCAAGGATGCATTAACTTGATCAAAAGTGACAGTTAAGACATTTAATGTTACAAAACAATTCTATTAATAATACATTTTTATTTGTTATTTTTCTATTTCTATTCATGAAAGAACCCTGAAAAAATGCAGCATGGTTTCTACAAAAATATTAAGTAGCACAAGAGATTTCATTCTTGATAAGAAATGTTTTAAATCAGCATATTATAATGATATCTGAAGGATCAAGTGACACTGGAGACTGGTGCAATGGCTGCTGAAATTCCATGTGTCCCATTTAAATTTTTCTGAATTCTGTTTTAAAGGGATAGTTCACCCAAAAATGAAAATTTCATGAAGTACTCCCCCTTATGTCGTTCCAAACTCTTTAAGACTTTCGTTCATCTTCAAAACACAAATGAAGATCTTTTTGATAAAATCTGAGAGCTTTCTGTCCCTCCATTGAGAGCTATACAACTGACATTTTGATGCTTTAAAAAGTTCATAAAGAGATATGAATTTAGCGGTTTAGTCCAATTTTTCTGAAGAGACTTGATTGCTTTATATGATGCACAGATTGAATTTAGGCTTTTATTCACATATGGATTCCGCGATTCTGTCTGCTCTTTCTGCACTGCTGAAATCATAGGGCCATAAGTTTAACACACTGGCAGGGAATGAAATGGTCTTTAGATGGTTCAACTTCAAACCGGTGAGACAGTTACATTCCATATCTGTATCTTACTTTGTAACCAAAGCAGCTTATCAAAACAATGACTCTTAGTTATTGTTATTAAAGTTATTTTCATTTTTAATCATATTTCACAGTATTACTGTTTTACTGTATTTTGTTTTATTAAAAATAAATGCAGCTTTGGTGAGCATGAGACAAAAATATATTTGTTTAAATCATACCCCAAACTTTTCAACTGAAGTGTACATGGACATATAGAAACATTCATGTTGTCATTAAGCAACATCAAGTTGTTGTTTTTTTGCTAAGAGTGTTAACTTTCCTTTGCAGCTTCCTCAGGACCTGTCCATAAAAGCTAGAACATCATGTAGTTCTGTGTTAAGGATCCCACCATCCAATTCCTCACCAAACACATTTTTCACATCAGCGAAAACAAATTTCCGAGTAACCAGCTGCAGAGAGGACTCGCCCCTAATTGCCTATAACACTCCTCCATGGTTTCCCTGCCCGTTTAATTTCCAAAATGTCACAGACGTGCGACCCTCAAGCCCTGCCCAAAAAACAGATCTCGCCAGCAGCCCAACTTCTCAGGCCAGTGTGATGGCTAATGCTGTGGACCTCTCTGTTGCAAAAAACAAAACACTACAATGAAGACATGTGAAATGCACAACCTGCTGCTGTTCAGCTGATAAACATGCACCCCATAATCCAATATTAATCAACTGGTCTCAGGTCTTAGACTTGTGTTGATGTTCAGCTTTTAAAACCAAACCGTTTTAAATCCGTTATATATATTTTGCAACACACTACCTCATTCTCATAATTGTATTAAATATGTAACTTGTAGAACTACCTCACAGATGCAATTCTAGATTACAGAAGTCGGCAGTGTAAACTAGTAATAATACAGCATTGGGAGCAGAACTAAGTGTAGAACGCTGAGTATTAATTTCACTTTTGAGTAACATTTCATACTTGTGACAGCAGATGTAACAAAACAATCAAAAATGAAATAGAACAGTTACTGGAGATTTGCATTAATGTTTTTCTACAGGCTATAGCACAATATTGAGATCATAGTTTTTGAAAGAAATGTTTGAATGATTTTTTTTTGTGAATTTGGCATTGTTTGTCAATTATATAACAGAATTATTGAACTGCCTAGAGACCTTTTTTAGTTCTGACATGTCAGTGGGACTCCAAATACTTGAATAGAGACGCTCAACTAATTAAGAGTTGTAAATTAACTTGACAAACCGTTTTCCTTTGTGCTCTGAAAGTATCTTGTTTCAATGTAATTGAGATTTGCTAAAGTTTCTTGCATAAGCTATTTTTATACAACAGTCAATAATGTGCATAAGAAATACAGCACTTCGATTTAAAAGCAAATATAAAAACAGGTTTTATTGTAGTGTCTAAATCATTAAAAACAGTTCACAATACAAAATCTTTTCAACACTCATTTGGTATATGATGTACACTAAATTAGTGGTTCAAAGTGTTAGTAGTGGTACTAGTTAAAAAGATGAATGTGCAGAAGAAAAACAATCACTGTGGTTGCTGTATCTTACTTGATTTTACAATGGACGAAAGATAAATGGAAATGCTTTTCAACTCAGACTGTATGTGTGTGTAGTATGCTGTGGCCTAAATGATAAATTGCATTCTTGGTTTTCTCAGATTGAGATTTTCATTCTTCATGTAATTCATTTTGTCTATGATTTCATTTTTTACTGTACAAGGCTAGTGGTGTACAATTTCATGTTATTAATGGTGCTCTTTTTATAACAAAACTTTGTACATCTGTAACAAGCTTATTATAATGCTCCTTGCTGAATTACAAGTATGTTTCACTGAACTTAGGATAACACTGCAGCACAGCTCATATAAAACGTTTCAATTGAATGCAACTTCTTAAATTCAAGATTGTACAGTGTTGCGCTTGACACACTAAATCACAGTTTTTTTCTGTAGAGGTTATATTTAAGACCCGTGTACAGACTGGTTTTTAGGCTTTTACAAAAATTAAGAAATTGTTTAGAAAACCACTAGTAACTGAGGTTGTAAAAATAGGTCATCCCCTTACTTCATTTTTTGGGTTGGGTTGGGTGGGGTGGGGCTTGGGGGGTGGGGGGTGGGGGGTGGGGGGTGAAATGGTGGGCAATCCAGACGACCAGTCTGGATGATGTGAAGAGAAATGGTTTACTTCTCAAAGTATGGCAAATAAAAGAACTTGAATCCTCTTCGTCCCCGAACCGCACAGCTTATATAGATCACATGATACACTGAAACAAAAAAGGGAAGAGCAAAAGTTGTTGTTTTTCCTCTAGAATTTTTCAAGCAATGCTGTCTATGTTAAAGAGGACCTGACCTATTATGCTTTTTTTCCCATTTTCAACATTCTTTAGTGTGTAATGTTGCTGTTTGGGCATAAAAAAGGTCCACTCAAAGCATTAAGTACACTCTAAAGGGAGTTATTCTCCACATCAGTAAGCGGCGGGCTGATTCTGAACTCTCTGAAATGCATTGATTGTAGTTTTTCTTCCGGAACGTACATGTCACAATATTCCTCATTTAAATAATTCCCGCCCAAGCATACGCAAAATAAAGGGACAAGGCTTGGTTGAATAATGCAAGTAGTGTGTTGAAACTAGTGGTTATGGTAAGTGGCGTGACATTTCCGAAACATGCAGGAAGCAGTTGACCAATCACAACACACTGGTCCATCAGAGCACATTGTGCTTTTCAGAAAGGGGCTTCATAGAGACCAGGGCCCGTATTCATAAAGATTCTAAGAATCCTCTCAGAAAACTCTGAATTTAGCTTAAAAACTTTTATGTAGGAGTCTTAGCTTACGAGCGATTCGGGACTGATCTGAGAGCAACTCTGAGTAAGGAAAAGACAAAAACTTTCATCTTAGTGAGGAGGCGGGGTTGACCCCATTGCTATGTATGACACAATCTTTTGAAGACTGTGATTGGTTGGTTGTCCAAGAAGGAAAAAAAAGAATGATTTTAAGTATAGGGTCTATTCTAAGCCTTCACTTTGAAATTACATGCAAAATTTTTCCTATTTGACCGTTCTCACACACACACATTATATATGTGTATATAAATCCTTTTTTTATTTACCATGCTGTTAATTTCCTATAAGGTATTTGATTGGCTTAGAATGATAAAAAATTGTTCCACTCTTTCCAATTACACTGATTGCTGGCATGTCTATTTAAGTGGTGGTTTGAATGTTGGTCTTAAAAGCTCTTAAAAGTCCTCGTCCATACTCCTAACAATTTTGACCTTAAAACCTCTTTTAAGGGTTAAGATACTTTCTGAATTACTTTTTTGTTTACTAGGATTTTTTCTTTCATTTTAAGAGTAAACGCCCACATTTCTAAGAATTTTGTCACTAGGAGCTACTCTTTGCATTACGATTCGTTATGAATACGGGCCCAGAACTAAACAGAGTGTTACTGCCAGACTGGGAAGAGAGGTGCTGCAACAATGTAAAATATATGAAAAATAATGTGTGTTTTTTTACATTCAAGCATGAAAACATTCTAGTAGACCCAAGAACAAAATCAAGACATTGTAATAGGTCCTCTTTAAATGTCAGTTTCTTCCTATGTATACACACTACTTGACTGCATTACAAAGATAACTTCACAATTCATAAAACTGTAATATATTATCTAAGGTCCAAAATCCATTACTGATATTCACAAAGGCAAAGCTGACTATATAATATAAAAGCTTGCATTGAGAATATTTAGATCTTACCACCAGGAATGAAGAGAAGAAATCCAGGAACAAAGAAAATTGCACTTGAAACACCTGAAAAGGCATTAATACATGGGTTACATCATTTACTGACCAAAATTGGCATGAAACTAACTGAAGAGTTAAAGGCCTGAAGGTGGTGTCGTCTTGGTTTTTAAGGCATGAAGAACACCGATTTATTAACTGATATGCTCCACTTATAATTAGCTGAACAGGTTGTGTGCTAAAGCAACCCTGCTCATGTCTCATCTGTGTTTACAACCAATACCAACGTGACAGGTCTTACCTTCGTGAGGATTTAACTGTATGACAATGCCTGTAAAGATCAAAGCTGATAGGTAGGAGACAGATGGAAGGGGACGATAGGGAGAGAGAAAAGATAACACATTTACTAAGCAGCTGACAATCACATCTGAATTCACCGTGCTTAAGATCAGAGTTGACAGCAAGATAAACACTAACAGCACTTTACAAGTCAAACAGAAAATGTGGTTCCCAAACACCTTCCCCTTGAGATCTGTAGTACTTATCATGATCAAAGAACATCACAAAAGGTATGAAAGTCTCACCAACTCCAGTGATTAAGAGGAGGAACGAGGCAAGAACGACTCGTCTATTCTTCTTCACTAGCGGGTGAGACGTCCACCTGGGAACAATACACACAGGCCAAATGTTGAGGAAAGGAAAAGAATATCACAAACTATTTAAATGAACAAGACCAGAGTATTTTTTAGTTAATGTCAGCTTATATAAATAGAAGTTTTACAGTAATGTGTGCGTGTTACCCGCAGCAGTGAGCAGACAGCTGTGTGACTGAGCTGAGTGTGCTGAATGACCACTGAGAGCTGCAGTAGGACAGAGTAGCAGGATCACTGGAACACAGACAGACACTGGGCTTGACATCTGGCCTTTTCAAGTACTTGGACATCAAAAAAATCAAAGCAACATATTTTATTTTGTTTAGGTTGGTCATTTGATGGCTTGTTTGTTTGCCAGTTGGTCACTTCTTGTCCCTGATGAAAATTTGTGGGAAATTAAGCATTTACTTTAAAATTTAACATTACCCTAGGGCTGAAAACAAGAAGTTAACATCACAGTGTATGTATAGTTGTCTTTTAAAATCTGCCATTTCTAACGCAAACTATGGAGAGTGACCATTTTAATGTATCATTGAAGATACGTAAACTTATATTTACCAATTATTAACTGGGATAAACTTGCCTTTAAATTTCTAAAATTGAGAAAAAATTCTGAAGTAAAACAGGTGATCACATGTTTTCAGTGGTAATAGTAATATGCAAGTTTATTGTCATATCAGCTTCACATGCTATTTCAAGGCACATGCAGATTCCATAAATACAAACATTGCAATTAAAAATTAATAAAATTCAACTTAGAAAGAAGAAAAAGATGAAACAATTTTGTATATACATAAACAATAAAAAAGATTAATCAAAGTTTTGTCCTGATAAAAACTGTTGTTGTGTCATGACTTTTAGGAAATATTAGGCAGACCAAAAATGTATTCGCCAATTCAAAAAGGAATCTGTAATATAATAAGATTAATAAACTTTTTTTGGACTATTCGTATTGCTCCCTTAATTGATAGAGTACATTTGTCATTGTTTGTGAGATGTATACACCCTGCTTCAACATTTTCTTACTCTACTTGTTCAGTCTGTCCAAAATCTTACAATTTAATATTTTAACTTTATACAGTAATATTACTAACTGGTAAATATAATCGCTGACAACTGGTGTTAATTGCATCAGGAGGTTTTAATTAACGACTTGTTAGTGGTGCAAAATAGCTTGAACTAAAATACAACCTAAATCAACAAATTCTGGATTAACTTGTAATATATCGACCACCAAACTCTGACTATGAAACATTTAGAAACCACTTTGATAATCTCCTTCTCTGTATAAACCAGATGAACAAAAACAGTATTATTATGGGTGAGATTAAGATTGACATTTCTAAAGAAGATATAAAGGGAACTGATTTTTTAAATACCCTTTCCTCCTCATCATTCTATCCTACTATTGATCCAAAATAGACAATATTATAACAAATTTACAAAATACTGGTTGTAAATCGGGTGTAATATTTTCTGATATCTCTGATCATTACCCTGTTGTGTTCTTTACAAACTGGATAAAAAGAGTATCGGATCCATGTACTAAAAGGAAGGCAAAAGTTCTTAATAACAAAACACTTGCAAATCTAATTCAACACCTCCAAAATAAAAGCTGGGATGAAATAAACAATGCCATAGATCCCAATTTTGCTTATAATTTATTAATTGATGTAATAACCGATGCTATCAACGCGACTATTCCATAAAGGATAATCAAACATAAAAAGGAAACTCATCCATGGATCACTAAAGGAATCTTAAAGTCTATCCAGAAGAAGGATAAACTCTATGAACAATACAGAATAAATTAACAAGCTTAATACGAGACAGCAAAGGGAGTTACTTCACTGATCGTCTCAAAATTGCCTCGGGGGATCAGAAGAAATCTTGGAAGGTGTTGAATGAGATACTTGGCCACAGTAATAAATCCTCAGTTATCCCTGACATCGTTGTACCAACCCAATCAAATAATTGTACAATTCAAGATTCACCACTAGACTTGTTTAATAGATATTTTGCCTCTGTTGGAAAGAATCTGTCTCAACAATTTGGTCCACCAGGGGATGCCAATTATAAAACATTCTTGAGGAATAATTATCCCATCTCTTGTATACTTTAGACCTACTTGTAAAATGGAAGTTACTAACATTATTAATAAAATTAAATGCTCTTACACAGCTGGTGCTGATGGAATCTGTAGCATGATCCTTAAAGCCATAGTGAATGAAATATGTAGGCAAATGGCTTAGCTAATTAATTTATCATTACACCATGGCATAGTTCCTAAACAAACTATGGTGGCAAAGATAATACCAGTATACAAATCTGGGGACAAGATTTGTATACTTTTTTTAAAACTAGACTTTCAAAACTTTAGACCCATATCAATCCTGCCAACGTTTTCTAAAGTGCTAGAAAGAGTGGTTTATTCACGACTTGTAGATCACTTAAATAAACATAACATACTAGAATCTTCACAATATGGCTTTAGGAAGAATAACAGCACAAGGATGGCTATTTTAGATCTTGTAGAGAAAATAAATGATGCTTTTGAAAGAAAAGAAGCCGGTATTGGGGTCTTTCTCGACCTTTCAAAAGCATTCGACACGATTGACTTTCAAATCTTACTTGGAAAACTATCGCATTACGGGGTCAGGGGAGTGGCTCTCCAGTGGTTCAGGGACAATGTCTATGGAAGACGGCAATATGTCAACTTAAATGGTATTGACTCTGGATTGGAAAATATAGTACTTGGGGTTCCCCAGGGATCTATTCTGGGGCCTCTTTTGTTCATTGTTTACATTAATGATTTTGTATATTGTTCCGGTGATGTTTATAAAATACTCTTTGCTGATGATACAAATCTGTTTGTATCCCACAAACACTTGAATCATCTTGAAAAACTCATAAATGACAGACTAGCAAAAATAGATACCTGGTTTAAATGTAACAACCTATCGCTAAATATTAGTAAAACCTTTTATATTGTCTTTAGATCTAGTATTCATAAGTACAGTGCTTGTGACATTAATTTAAACATAGATGATAGAGCTATTCAAAGAGTGGACACAATAAAATTTCTTGGAATACATATAGATCAATTTATAAACTTTAAGGAACATATTAATGTGCTGGTTAAAAAACTATCTAAAATTGTGGGTTTGTTCTTTAAAGTGAGACATGTGCTCCCATTAGACATACTCTTGTCCCTGTATAGGACTTTGTTTGAGCCTCATTTGATTTATTGTAATATTATTTGGAATAATACCTACCCTACTTATACTGATAAAATCTTGATTTTACAAAAGAAAGCCATAAGAGCTATTTCATGGTCCACACGTAACTCTCATACAAATGCTTTCTTCCATAGACATGGCCTACTAAAGCTTCCTGAATGTAACTTATCACAATGCATGTACAACGTACAATGTTGTCAACAGGTTAAACATTAGATTGTGTGAGCTCATTCCATTATACACATTCTCACACACACTGCACTAGACATAAGCTGCTCCTAAAAGGTAAATGTAGGAACCTAACAAGTGCTAGGTTTAGTGTATGTTACAGTGGCCCACAATTATGGAATGAGCTGGATACTAATTTAAAACAATCTGCCTCATTATCTATATTTAAAAAGAATCTAAAGCAACAACTACTGGAGAGATATAAACCCAAGGGACTCGCGGCTGATGGTTAAACCCCTTTCTCTTGGTACAAGGATCAATTCAAAATGTTCTTCTTTTTTTTTTGTCTGTTTAAGGTAACTGTGCTCTAAATACCCACAATTTAAAGAATGGTTGTCCTGGCATCTAAAGTTGGACCGCTCACACAATCCTTACCAGGTGGGTGGGGTGGTGTTGGTGTTGGTGGTGGGATGGACCCCTATTTATAAGCGGTTGCTTCTTGGGAGTCCATTTTTTCACAATAGAATACAATGTTTTTTTTTTCTGATCAGTTGTTGGGCAGGTTAAGGTTACCTTGAACTGTGTGTACTATAGTAATAGCTGCAGCTTTGAATTGTAATGTGTTTTGTACTGCATAATTTATACTGCTTTGAAAATGTAGCTGAGTAACTGAGTAACTACTCTCAATTGCTTTACACCCGTGGCAAGATATGGACTGAAATGGTAGTGATGCCATCGAGCCAGGGTGCAGCCAAAGATTTCTTTTTCCCCAGTTTCTCGTGTCTTGTTTTGACGTTGGCTATAAGCTCCTGCAGATTTTGTACACCAGTATTCAGCTTCAGTTGACATGCTGCATCTTATTTGTTTGTAACTCTAGTTACTTGAATTGTGATGACAGTATACTACCATATTTAGTGTGTGTAATGTGTTGTAGTTCTTGGCTGCTGAAAAAGTAATATATTTTGCAACTTGTCACTTCTGTAATGTCCCCCAAAAACTGTGCTTCTGATGTAGCAACAAATGCAATGTGTGATATTGTGAAAAAAAAAAAAAAAAAAAAAAAAAAACTTTAAACTCAGCCTTATTGCTGCAACACATCCTTCATTTTACACCATTCTGCTCAAATAATTACATTAAATTTAATATTCTTGCTTAATGAGAATGTTCAAATTAAAAATGTCAACACTGTGATGTGAACCGCCAAACCTGATTTTGAAGAAGTTGTTGAAAGAAGAGTTCACAGTGCCACCTAAAGCATCTTCATTTTCCAGATTCTGTGGGAGAACAGAAAATAAAGTCAGTCAGATTTGCCCGTAAAAGAATCTCAAAGAGAAAGTGACAGACATGTAAACACCTGACCTGATATTTCAGATTACTGTGTTCAGGAGTGCCAGCGGATCCAGAAGGATGAGATTGTGTTTTGGCAAAAGAAAGAGGTCCAAATGTCATCTCTCCGCCACCGTCCTTCTCTCTCCCCTTCCATTCCCCCACATCCTCTCCAGGAACCACACCTTCCTCCTCCCCCTCCAGGACGAACGCGTCATCAATTGTAAACTGTGTCCCCATAGCTACAGGCCCTTAGACATTGACTGGATGTTAACCAGCAAGCACTGTGAAGATGATAAACACCATAGCTGAGTTACTGATCATCCACACTCTGCCCTTTACATTTCTCATTCTTCAGTATAGTGCATTGACTGTCCTATAATATTCCTTTACAATGCACAATAATGAATTGTACATCTTTCTCCCTCATTTCCTAATTTTTACACCAAACTATTACAAACGAAGAGCAAAGGACATTACCTTCTTTAGATTAATGGTGCTCACTGTGGCTAATGTACAGACCATTTCAAAATTGTATTTAAGTTATACAAAATTGTTTAACTTAGGGAAGCACAGTAATGAAGGGTTTTTCCTCTATTACGAGAAAGTATAAAACGACCTATTCAATTTCAATTTTATTTTCAATCATTATACAGATATACATACATGCATAACAACCAAAAAAGGTGTAGGCTGAAGCCTATGCTTATTATGCCCACCTTTTGTACATAATTACGCAATTAGCGTCACTTTTCTCTCTGGATTTAACTTTTCAAAATAAACGTACATTTTACATAAGAACTTTTCCAAGATGTTCATACATGATTACAAAGGTACACATCTCAGACATTATTTCAATAGTTAACATATAACGTAAACAAATTAATCATATTGAGTTTTATAAATATTTATCACCTTGTTTTTAAACATTTTTTTTAAATTACAGAGTGAATTATTCGGATCTGTTATGAAGATGACGCTTTGTTTTTATTATGTATTTCACTTTTTTTTTCATCCTGGGTTTATTTCAGCGCAATACATTATATTTGATTGAATCTGATCGCATTTACAGATGTTAGCTAAATCTCCATTTGATAAGGCATTAGGTTTATTAGATGTGGAATAAATGCCCGAGTGTGACATAGCTAATATTTGCCCTTAGAAAGCATATGACTGACTGACACACTCTTCCGCTTTTTCTTAACAACAGAATGTTGTGTTATCCACCCAAAACAATACATCTTGCGTATTAAAGAGAAGCTCGTTACATGTATCTATCACGCTTATAATTACGTGTCACAATAATAAATGTAAGTTTAAAATGATTTCGTTGAAAATATCAGTTGCAGAATTTCCAATGCTAATCTACTGAGAAGGTTTGCTTGAATATTTACACAGCCGAACATCCCGTTATTAACACCACAATAGCGCTAAATTACAAAGGAAGAATCCTCTAAGTTACTCACTGTCACACATTACTGTTGATCCTCGTCAGTTACACATAGATCATTCTGCCATCGTCCTTAGATCACTTCCAATGAATGCAAGGTTCCTAAACCTGTTTAAATGTATTGTTTACTGGCCGGCGGAAAACTTTAACCTAAACTTTGCTAATAACAGCTGCTTCTTTTTTTGTGGGTCGACTCCCTATGGTCGACTCTCTAAACAGACAAATGTAGCGGTGGTCTCTTCAGCGACACCTAGAGGACTGGAAGATTCAACAATTATAGTGGTCACTTACTGTATATTGTTATTATAATTATGAATCATAATTATCTTAGTAGTAATCATTATAAATAATAGGCTATAATTTAACATTTAAATATATATATAATTGTTTAATAATGATATATTGTAAGAAATAATTATGGTGATGCTTGAAATTTGAATTTGAAGAAAGATAAACTGAATCTTGATGGGTGCATGTTGAAAAGCATGTTATATATTACAATCCCAATGTATTTCTGTTTCTGTGTATCTTGAACTGATTAGTGAACTTATCAAATCCTTCATAGGCCTAAATCATTCAGAAATACATTCTGATGCTCGTCCCTGAATTTAATGTGACAATTTAATAATAGAATTGTGTACACAGAAAATTGCTCTGCTATTGTTTAAGGCTCAAGTAGTGTAATTTTCTTCCGTTCTATTAATATTTATCCTTCTTCTTTACAGTCTGTAATTGTTGGCCAATGTAAGGACATGCTAAGTTTATCACCTTTTTTTCTGTTATGGTTCTCAGTTGCTCAGCTGTCCCTCATTGTTTGCTCACTCTAGTGCTGAGGAAGCAACGGTGTGGACACTTGTTTATCTTGGAAGTTATATTTTTCAGACACCTGTTCACAGATATATCTGTGAAGAGTAAGCTATCTATCCATTATATTTTATGCAATGCCACTGAAAAGAAGAATACCACAGTCTTTGAAATATTTGTTTTTCATTGGCCTATTTTCAGTTATAAATGCGAGGTTATGATAGATTATTGTTCAATTTATGTCATATATTTTATTGCCTAGACAGAATATGTATGTTCTATCCCATGTGAACCTTCATGAGGTCATTTTTAAGGTGCGAGTTTTACGGGTTAAGAAAGGTATAGTAGCAACTATAGCAAGTTGAATACCACAAGACAATGTCATTCAAGGAGTGATAATCTACTGTGATGTGATATTAGTGAAACAGATTTGGATAACGATCCAGTGCGTATTTGTGTTTGTTTGCACTCTGGAGAGTGTCAAAGGTTTCTTTTTACAACGTGTTTTGCAGAGTTTATCAATGTAGCCAATCACAGACAGCCTATCTGTATTTCTTGAACACAATGGCCAATCAGAGGCGTTTAAGTTAGTCAGATCTACTCACCGCTCAAAACGCATGAGTTTTTGTACATTTTGTGCTGAGTTCCCTCATCGAGTCAGTCTCTCGACATTACGTATGGGGAAATCCATTTTCCTCGAATCATGAAGTCTGATAGAATAACTCTTTTGCTTGCAAATAGCCAATGGTGGTCCCGCCATCACCTGATTGGCTGACACTCCTCAATATAGGTGACGGCGGGCGCCAAAACCCCCAGAATCTTTTCTTCACTCGAGTCTGTTTCACCGTTGATGTACGCATTCAGAGCGGAGTATATTAAGGAGTTTTTATTTCCCCTCTCGCGTTCCGGTGGATTATATTATGTCTCTTTGTCGCATGTGCGGTGGACCCAACGAATTCCCGAATTTACACAAACTTTGTGTGCTGTGCCTGGGTCGGGACCACGCGGAGGCGGCACTCGAGGGATCGGGATGTCCCGCCTGTGAGGAGCTTCCCATCAAGATCCTTCGTGCAAGGCTGGCCGTTACACGTAGCGACGACCTTGTGTCTCCTGCCTCTCCCCAGTCTGCCGCCGTCGAGCCGCGGACCGGGAGACGGCAGAGAACTCCATCCGCGGGTTCTGTCGAGGCGCTGACGTCGGCCCAGGGCCCACGCCATCCTCACGTGGCAGAGCCCGTGATTTACTCTGAGGCCGTTTATCGCCCTCCTAAGGAAGCGCGGGAAATTATCTCGTGTGGATACGACGATGACGACGCCATGTCCACCAGTGCCTCTGAACCAGGAGCATGGTCCGAGTCTCCGTCTGAGGGCGCCCCCGCCTCTTTGGATGCGGAGCTTATGGCCATTCTCACTGAGGCGGTGGCAGATATGGAGCTGGAGTGGACAGCGCCCAAGGAGCTGCCGTCGAAAAGATGGATGGACGGTTCCTTCCTCGGCGCGGGCCGTCAAGCTGAAGCCCCGCGGAGACCCGCCCCCTTTTTCTCGGAGGTCCACGAGGAACTCGCCAGATCATGGCGCTCCCCTTACTCAGCCCGACCCCATGCACAAGGTACCCAGCTACTGACTACAGTGGAAGAGGCGGAGAAATTGGGCTATGCTCGATTGCCTCCCGTCAAGGATGCCATCGCGGCTCATTTAGCATCTTCTCCCGGCTGGAAGACCGCCCAACTGCCTTCCAGACCATGTCGCGCTACTGCCCACATGGCTGAGAAAGCCTACACGTCAGCTGGACATGCAGCATCTGCCCTCCACACGATGGCAATTCTGCAGGTTTTCCAGACGCGACTCCTAGGGTCCCTGGATATGGGAAGCCCGGACCCCGAGTTGCTCAGGAAACTGCGCACGGCCGCAGATCTCGCTTTGGCGGCGTCTAAAAAGGTCGCTCAGGGAATCGGCCGCAATATGGGCAGTCTTGTGGCCCTACATCGCCATCTGTGGCTGACGCTGTCGGGGATGCGCGAGACTGACAAGAGGCAGTTCCTGGACGCACCGGTAAGCCCCACAGGCCTTTTCGGTGTTGCGGTGGAGTCGTTATCTGACAAGTACGCCGAGACCGTCAAGCAATCTAAGATGATGCCTCATCTACTGCCGAAACGGTCTCAAGCCCCCCCGGCGGTGAGATCGAGATCATCTTCTGCGCAGCGCTCAGCGGGACCTAACAGACGTGCCTCCCCGAGCGCGGCAGAACGTCGCGAGCCAGAGCCTCCCTTCCGCCAGAGGCAGTTCAGGAAGCCCCGCTTTGGTGCGAAGCCAGCCTCTAGCAGCCAGGGGCGCCCGGCAGGCAAAAAAGAGCAGCGCTCCTGATGTGCGTGTCGGGGAGGAGAGAGCGCGGGACGTGTTCGTCGGACCCGCTGCGAAGAGGGCGAAGAGTTCGACGAGAATGTGTTGATTTTGAAACCGCTGTGTTCTGTTTCAATAAACAAAGTGCATTACATGTCTCAGCAAAAGAGCTTTCTTCCTCCCAACATTATTACCCGCGTCGTAGGCGAAGCCTCTCCCCCGGGAGACGTTTCGCAGAGCGGAAGCTCGGGGAAACCCGAGAATATGGCTATTTATGTCCCCGTGCAAAAAGCCGCGGACGAGCTATCTACCATTCATATAGCGGTCAATGCTTCCCCGGTGGCTGCCGCTCAGCCCCCGCCGCAGCATTCATTAAAGCCCCCCTTATCGAGCCACCTGAGCGCGTGGTCGACACTACCGACGGCATCACATTGGGTGTCAAACACGATAAAACGCGGCTATATGCTCCAATTCGCTCGCAGACCACCCCGCTTCGGCGGTGTGATTTTGACAGAGGTGTCAGAACAAAGCGCTCCGTTACTTCGGGCAGAAATCTCCTCTCTCCTGGCCAAGCAAGCAGTAGAGACAGTACCCGAAGAGTTTCTACAGCCGTTATTTCCTAGTACCAAAGAAGAATGGAGGTATGCGCCCTATTTTGGATCTGAGATTACTGAACAAAGCGCTCGCGAAACGCGCATTCAAAATGAT